GTATCAAGTAGAGAGTAAGGTATAGGTACAGAAGGTAAGACAGAAGGTATTGAAAATCACCTTCCGAACATAGGTAATTACCAATACTTTAGCCTGCCTTGAGGCTTCCTTAGCCAATTCCTGTGAGTTTATACTGACAGTATGCCTAACTAGGAGTTCCCGTAATTAAAAAGATGAGAGAGCCGGACTGTAACATTCTTACGCTTGTCTCTTTCCACCTGGGTAGCACTCAATGAAATTGATTGAGCCTATTAGCTCATCGTTCAGATGAGTATCACCTATCACCTGTATCACCGGTGGTCCCGCTGATCACCCATTTCTTCGAGCGGGCGCAGTAACGTCTCCATTCGTCCCTGTCGCGGGCCGAAGTTGACCAGTGGATCGTCCTCGCTTCAGGGACGCGAGGCTCAGCATTCCTTTCATTCAGAGCCTTCAGGTGAGTTTAGGTAAATATGGGGACAATAATTCGAAGTAAGAGTAATAATAGTAATGGTAACTAGTGATACCTAATGATAAACAAATGTCCCCCTTTGATCTGGAGTGACATGGGAGGACATTTTATCAGCTTCAACGAGACACTACATCATAGTGACTGATCTCTTCTAGTGATAGCAACCATGTTGTGCTACTGTACTCGCATGGGAATAGTAAATGGTCAGGCTTTGCGCGGTCCATGAGATCCTGGGCGTATCACCTAATCCCTTTATCATGGATGGGTGCGTCGATAAGAGGATTAGGTTCTAGATGGGGCTTGTACAAGTTTGTCGCGAGCCACGCCCGTAACCAAGAGGCTCGAATGTTCTACACAAGGAGAGCGATGGTCGGGGTGAAGGCTACGGTCGCGCCATGTAAACCAAACACCTAACTATAGATCCGTACCACGCCAGAATAAGGTCAANATGGTAAGTAGTAATACCTAATGATTAACAAAATGTTCTCCACTGATCTGAAGTAGCTTGAGAAGCTTCAATGAGCCACTTCATCATAGTGACTGATCTCTTCTAGTAAATACAAACAGTTTGTGCTACTGTAATCGAATGGAACAAGTAAATGGTCAAGTTTTGTGCTGTCAATGAGGGCCTGGGCGCATCACCTAATCCCTTTGTCATGGATGGGTGCGTCGATAAGAGGATTAGGTTCTAGATGGGGCTTGTACAAGTTTGTCGCGAGCCACGCCCTTAATCGAAAAGCTCGAATGTGCTACACAAGGGAAGCGGCTACGTACGCCACGGTCGCGCCATGCATACCAAACATCTGAGAGATCCGTGCCATGCCAAAATAAGGTCAAAGTTCGAATCCTCGCCATTTTTTGATGGACATTTGTCGCGGGAGGAGTAGTGTGCGAATAAAGACCCCCATTGAGCTTCACGAATAAAATAATGGCATTGCCGACGATGACAAGTATAATGGCCTATAAAGCAACACAGCAACATATCCAAGCCGGCTCTATTAATCACTGACCGTAGAAAGGCAACTGAACAATCAAAACGGACAACAGATATACGTGTTTGTTGAAACCCGCTCTTACGCCATCACTGCCTTGTCAGTCTACGCTGCGTCTCCGCGCTTTCTCCCCATAGGCGGTACATGGGAGGTCGTTCGGGCTTCTCCTTTCAGGGTTCCGCCTACACAAAAGCTCACAACTGTCATTGCTTATATCCGGTCAGCTATCGATGATTACCTACTGGATTCAGCTGATTTGCTACATCGTTGTACAACGACTTGTCCACACTATACCTTTACCGAATGGACAACTCGGTAAGTAAGAGTGCCTATAAGGAAGTTTTAGATTCATATGGCTGTCCGGTTGATTTTTCGTAGAACGACTAGCTACAGAAGGAACTGCTCCTGCCCGAACCATCTATATTTTATGAAAAAGTTCCTCTTCAAATGCGAATAGTACCTTTGAGTAAGGTAAACTCTTCTCCGTGATGCAATTCCTTTCTAGCTTTTTTCTGTGGGTTAGAGTTATCTTGAATTTGTACCGAAAAGAAGAATAGCTTCAATTGGAGATCATGACTTCACGCCATCAGCCATGCCATCCTTGAATAAAGCGTAAAACACAATGCCCATCCTTGAACGCCTAAGCAGTATCTAACAAACCCTCCTGCTCCAGTGATTACCTTCACATTCCATATCGGTTACCCAGGGGATGGTTTCTGAGTTTTACGTCTTTTTCTAACTTATCAATTATTTAATGAAGTAAAGGCTACGTATTCGCCCCCTACTAAATATCCCACTATACATCGCATGCCCTTGTTCCCAATCACTTTGGGTAATCTTGTTTCGCACGAACCACAAGATTACCCAAAGCTTTCCAGAGTCATCAGGTGCCATCCACCAAGGACAGAGTTTCTGTTCTGGATGACAATTTGGTGTCAATGACTGGTCTGAGGAACATTTCGACTATTCACCTCTGACACCCTCGAACCGAGCCCATCGCTCTCTTTCTATGACTCTGGGCTGTTTCGACTCTGTGAAATTCAGATAATAGGAACTGTAAAGGATATAAGGCTATGAACGCTTTGGGAGTTCTGAAACCGACAGTGCTTGAAAGGCAGTAGCTACCGAATAGCCTTTGCAACACTGCTGTAAACCCACATGCAGGACATGTGCACAGCTCAATCTTGGAGCCTAACTTTGAAAGTAAATTTGTGAAGTCTAGAAGGTTTACCGTAATCAAGCAAATCAACATTCGACAGAGAATCCGAAGAGAAGTGATCTCAACTGACAAGAAAAGTCGAACATGGTCCGATCTCAACTGAGACCGACCACATAAGGCATTTGCTTCGTAGCTAAAGTGCACCAGACTTCCGTGAATTTTCAAAACCTGATGATTCTATGACTATGCAAATATGTGCCATTACGGACGATTGACCAAATTTTTTTCGAGTTTTCTCTATTAACTATTGAAAAGAATAAAAAGAGTAAATGGTAAGATCATGGAAAATTCAGGAAAACCCGAAGTCGAATGTGGAGACAAAACAATCGAAGTCGTATTTCTAACTGAGGCACTTTTTGAAGGTGATTTTTTGTGAATGAATTGCTGTTGGGTACAGTAGTATGTTTCGAAAAGCTGGTTCCTTCGGAACCCGGTTGAATGTCAATTATTGATTCATTGATTCCAGGACGAATTTTCGTAATTGGCCACTCAAACGACACTAACTGCTTTTCACGAGATGTTGGACGTTTAACTACATCTATATTAATCGATAAGGACAAATGTGGTGTTGTTACAACACGATCGGTACGTTCTTCGAATCAATTATTGATCCGCCCTCTGATCAATTATCGATCGCCCCGCATTGGTGATCGGTTATCGATCCTTCGCGTTAGTAATCGATTATCGATCGCCCCATATCAGATCTATCGGGTTAGAATGGAAACACCATACGTAGTTTGGAACAAAAAAAAACTATATTTGGTCAAAAATGTCTACAAAGCTTAACGGAAATGTTGAGATAACGTTTTTTGTGAGAATAAGTTACTGTGACGTAAAATTGCAGACAAATCCTGTTGGAATATTCTCGAACGTCAAGATTATGATTTCATTCCACAACGATTTTATTACAAAAGTAGATCGAGTAAGTTTTTTTCCCAAATTGACTTCATTGCAACTTTTTTTTGAAATAATCATGCAAAAGTGGCATTTTTTCGGACAGAAATAGGGCGTTCCCGCGAGTGCGGTGCGACGCGGCATTCATTATTATGCACCAAAATATCAGGCGACTTCAGGAATTCTATCGTTTTTACTTTTTAATCGTGAAACCTTTTCAAAAAAAGAATCGTTTGTGGACCAATGCCTATTGGTGGGTAAGCATAGCAGCCTTTAGCCCTAATCTTTGCTAACGTCAAAGCGAATCGTATCATTTCACTGTTAATGCGGTAACTGGTATGTGGGGACGTAATTGGCGTGAGATATTCCGTGACAAGTGACCGTAACCAGTTCATAGGGGTTGTCAATTGATCATTGCTAGTTACTTGATAGGACAGGCTCAACATGCAGCAGCCATCCTCCGAATTATCTCCGAGGCTGGCTTCTTGGCGTAACATTGTGGACAACCCAGAATCGCTTCAGAAAAATTGTTTGATAAACTTTTCCCGAAAACATCAGGAGGGCTTTTCCGTTTATAAAAAGATTTCGACAAAAATCTGTCAGGTAAATAGTAGGGCAAAGAGGTCAAGGTGAAGTGATGGTAGGAGGGGGTGCAAGGGTAACGTTCCGAGTTAAGAACTCGTATGGGTGACTTTGTATGATTGCAAAAACTGTCACTGTCTGACCTACTGTTTCACTCTGGCCAGCCGATGTACAAGCCAGTGCTGTTATCGGCCCAGACGAATCTGGTACCTACTAACCGACTCTGAAGGGATGGAAGGCTTGGTTGGTCGTCTGGAAAGATAAAAGCACTGACTTGACATTGGCTGGCTACCACAAATTATTGTATGGGCCACACACGCATTCAAAACCTCACTACGATTTTGAATGGAAGTCAAATGCAGGGCGCGTTCTTCAGTTGGGATTAACCAACACCCAAAGTCTTTTCCTTTATGAGCTGCTTCAAATATGAACTGAAATCAAAAACCTTTCCCAAATGAGTCTCAAATGCTTAGATATGTTGCTTAGATATGTTATGCTTAGATAGTTTTGTTATACCCACGTGGACTTTGTTAACGTCAATCGATAAAGATAAAGATAAAGATATGATTGTCCTAGAATATCGCGCTCTTACGTAATCCAACCAACGTCCCATTTCAATTTCTCTGCGAAGAAATCGTAAGCGCGACCTCGAAAATTCTTGTCGGACACCAGATATCACTGAAAACGAGTTGAACACATTAAGCTGACCAATGCGCGAATAGGATGGCGAAGCTTTCCGTAAAGCTGGTCAGTTGTTAGGAAGCAGTGAGCTTTCCTCGCTGACAATGACTTTAACAACAGGATCATGTCATGTAGTATTGTGAAATAGTCATGTTCTTAGAAAGGAACGACTACATCGCTATGCACTGCGAAGATTCAATCTAATTCTACTGACTATGAAGTCTTGGGGTGTTAATCAATCCCGTCAGAGAGAGATGCGCTCCTCATTCGACCTGCATTCAGAATCGTAGTGGCGTAATGAAAGGCCTATAAAATGATTTGCGGTGGCCGGCCGATGTTCAAGTCAGTGCTTTTATCCACGTAAACGAGTATGACACCAATTAAACGTCCCCGGAGGAATGGAGGGCTTGGTTGGTCTGTGCGAAGACCCAGAAACCGATCACTGGACCATGAGTATAGAAGTGCTGTGTCATCTCCGCCCATTACCAACACCAACAAAAACTCTAAAAATTTAAGTATTGAGTGGGCACTTGCAAGAAAATCAGGCTCCCTTTTCACACGAACCTTTAGTGACTTTGGTCTAAACTGCTCATCCGTGCTCATGAGTAAAGGATAAAGTTTTTGATGACACCCCGCTTCTGGGAAGCGCCTCTCGTTCGGCTTCCATTCACGAACCTAGTGGCGTATTGAATGCGTATGTGGCCTACACAATGATTCGCGGTAAATAATGGATGTACAGGTCAGTGTTGCTATCCTTCCAGACCAGTATGGCATCAATTTACCGACTTCAGAGGGATGAAACAGTCGATTGGCTTGGGAGGGTTCAGTCCAGGGACCGTGTGATAGTGTGCCACTTGCCACTACACCACCATCGCCTCATTTATAATCACGTGGACCAAACAATTCATCCATCAAACCCAGTCCAAATCGCCAGAACTGAATGAAAAGATAAATGCCCTGCTTGGACGTCTGCCAATAATTTAAGCACACTTCAGTTATATCTATGTCGCACCCATTTTCATAGATCATTCATTTATTTATTATTTATTATTTTTATTGTATTTTAAAGTATTTGCATTTATTTGTTCTTCACCTTTATCGAATGACTACAACTAACCCTTCTTAATGGTACCAATTTTAGGGCTACGAAATCAGTTGCTTCTATATGCAAGCGGACAAGACGGTAACCTATCCAATTACAGTAGCCACTCAGGTAAGTGGATGTTGTCATCTTTGAATAGGCCCTGACGGTTCTCTATACCGCTTATGATTTCTCTTTTGAAGGACATTGCCGGTATAACAGAGCTAGCCGAAATGCCCAGATGCCGTTATGAAGTGATCGATCCGGAAACGAAGAATGCCGTTGACGTTGTCACGGTCGGTAGCAAACTGCTTCATCGATGGGTATGCGACAGTACATCGCCCGGTGAGTTGAGGTTGCCTTATAAGCTTGTACGGAAGGGCTATTCACCACCCTTTGATGTAAGTAGTCGTTGGGAAAGAGAATATCCACCCATGATTGAGGACACAGTACACGATAAAAATGGTTTCTGAGATTTCTTCCGAGGTTGCACCACTTACTCTCGAGCACAAGGGACGCTATCGGTCTAGATAGCGCGTAATAAACGCCCAAAAACTGACTTAGACGACACATACCCACAGGCGGACGAGTTCTCACGGCGTTGTAGGGGTTGTAGGGGCTTTAGCATTCGCTCAGGAATGCACACGTTGCACGCATGCACCTAACTATAGCCAGCTGTATGCAATGGCGCCCGTATTAGAACAACTCGTCCAACTAACCCTATCGTACAACTTGTGCTCACCCAATGATCCGGCTTTGATTACTTCTATTTCACCATATGTTCTCGCATTGAGATCCCATTCAAGTAACATGTCTATAGGAGTATGGCCTATACAACAAGTTGCTGGGCTCAGTTACGGTTAACGCTGGGCTTTTATCCTCCCAGTCATGACCTACAACAATCAACCGGTTCTGTAAAGATGGAACGCTTGGTTGGCCCGGTTGAGTATGGGACACAATCTCTCAATCAGGAAGGTTGCAGAATGCTCTTCACCGGGAGACGGGCGTTAGGAACGATTTTGGGTAATCGCTTCGTCGCACGCGGCTGTCGCGGACCACTCATTCGCCGTTATTACAGCTCCAGCGTTCTTCATACAGCTCAATCGATATGTGATCATTGTTTTATGCATAATTCTACTATTAGTACTTTTTCTTGTATTTCTTACCTACTGCTGCATCCTGCTACATTACTTCGCGCGCGACGCCCCTTACACCGCGACGCGACCATTTCGTTCCTAACGCACCACACCCCTCTTCACCTTTACCCCAACCTTCGCCTTCATGCTGGAAATACCTATTTAGAAGTAATCGTGCACTTCTCATGAGACCATCTTGTTCAACTCCAGCTGTTACTAGATCGATTCGTACTCACCGAAAACCCTATAGATCACTTCCCATCTCTAAATAATGGAGCAAAATTAAAGTGAAAAAACTTTAAAGAATAAATTTTCTCTTTAGATTTCTGGTGCATGACGGTCCACTCATGCCATGTTGAGGACGGCTCCGGAACAACGTTCACGATTTTGGATGACAGAGGGTAATAATTGTTTGATTACTGAAGAGAATGATTCAATTAATTTTGTTAAATGTAATTACAAAAAATTATATACATATCACCAAGAAGGAGGGACAGGACGGGTCTCGATACTGTACAACCAGAGGTACAGTAACTAGACTGCGAAGATCCGGTTTCGAATTTCACTATGGCCAAGAGTTTAACTCCTAACTAAAACCTTTACGAAAATCTCATGCAATTCATTCGCAACAAGTCAACGTGACTATAAACGCTGCAGGAGAGGAGAGGGGACATACAAAATAAACTTTGCGTTTCAATCGATACTCACACTTTACAATACGGTCGTACAAGCGCGCTTGATGTTCTCCACTGTTCGCTTTTTTGAATAAAAGTAATCGGAAGAGCTCTGTATTGCCAAGGCCTGACTGGGCTGGAAGGGAGAATTTGTGAAATAGTGGATCCTACTCAATAGATGCGTATCAATCACAATACCTTCATCTAATATTTTTAGATGCTCTATCGATCGATATCTCCTCGACAATCTGGAATATGGGCCAGGTCCATTGCAAGCACAAAAAGAAGCGCATGCATTCAAATTTGCCGATAAGGTAAGCTCCATGGCTAAATAGCACCCGACTCAGAACTTCTACAACGAGCGTACGGGTCAAGAAGCGCCATCGCAATCCCACACGGCGAGATTAGGTCACACGCGCGCAATCTCGGCTAGTCTTGTAATCATTCGCGGGCTAAAAGTGAACGGATCGAACGCGACTAGCCGAGATCGCTGCGCGACGTGACCTATATTTAGTCCAGCAATCGCCATGGCGTCTCTTGACACTTACCCTTTCGGAAGTGAAAACAGTTGATGGATAAATAACTACTTGTTGATTAGGTGGTGGTGAACTTCCAATGTAGCGTCCGTCTCGATCTACGGGGTGAAAATGCGGAATGTCCAGTGAGTATCGAAAGACTTATTTAAACTCGATGGCGAATTACTGAGACCTCAATTCGCTTTCAGATTCCTACCTGTGAAGACCCCATCAGGTTCGAACGAAGGCGACCCCGATCACCCGGATTTATACACGAGGTGAGTGTGTGCACGGTTTGAAATCTTTGAGGAACCGCCCACTTCGAATACCCGCCTACCTGCGCACGAGTTTAATGCCTCCACTCAGTAGTGAGGTACCTTGCTCATTGTGGGTACGCCCATTCCGACAAGTTGGGGCTTCATCAACTTGTCGTGTGTGGGACCTTCCACAGCACAGTAGGAATTTTCGCAAATGATTAGCTCAAGATCACCTGAATCAGACAAAACATTTTCCCCGGAGTCACACCGTCCCGATGAGTGAGCTCCCAGGGGGCTCCGTAAGCACAAAAACATTCCAGTTCCCCAGGGACATACTGTCACGATGACTACTTGCCACGGAATCCGCCTATAATAGAGAACATTTCAGATCCCTCTTCTGGACGCCAATGGTAGTGTCGAAGTGGATGTACGAGCTCAGCAGATTGATGTTTTGGATCCACAATTCGGTAAGTATGCAGTAGATCTTCACCATGTCCATCAGTCGATATTTCCACTTCAGACTTCGGTTTTGACGCCGACGATAAACACATCGCATCGGTCCTGCGACGATTACGCGGCCATCCAGACTGTATCCCCACACACCACCTGGTTCTTCCTGCAGTCACCACACTTTCCTTGATCATCTCGCTCTTGGGAGTAATCTTTATCCTGCTAAGGCGACCACACCCCTCAAGCCATGAGAACTCTCCCACAAAAAGATCTTCCGACGAATGACTACGCCCCCGGCGGCAGAGATGAGATGCATACTTCACATATTTATGATGTTCACTTTAAATATTAAATATAGCGCTTTCACCTCCAGAGTATGAGATGAGAAACGCCTCAGGGTATAATTGATTACTTAATTATTCGCATAATTATTGTGATTATTTGTATAAATGTATTATTTAACTTTGTATAATGTAATGTTGAAAATACGGTATAAATATTTATGGAATAAATGTTATAAGCTGAGATTTTATACCCACAGAATGCTGGAAAAAGTGAGAAATAGTGAAAGGGGCGATGGCACGGTAGTCCCCTCATGTTTTTTGGTGAAAATAGCCATGTTTTCAAATAGTAACGTGAAAGTTCATAAAAAATCACCCAAATATTCATTGAGCAAGGTTTTGCGTTTTGCGTGATACACGTTCAGGAAGAACAAAAAAATAAAGATCGCAAGTTTGAGCGGGTAAGTTATAGTATAGGCCATGTAGATGGCATCAACTTAAAGGCACAGTTCACGATAATTTTGGGTAATCCAGATTACGATGAAAAATAGAAGACAAGATTGAAACTAGTGCGACTGACATGAAGAAACTGCGTGCATCGGTGTTTCCAAAATGACAAAAGGCTTCGAAAAATCGTTTTGGAAAGGGGTGGACGAGAATGAAACCGAAAAGTGAAGAAGAGTGGGGCACCCGGACGAGCTTAACAGTGTGTTTCACTGCGCGCGTGTGGGTCCTGGTGCGAATAACAGACAATGGTAAGCGAAAATTCATTCATTTATAAGCATAAATAAACAGAAAAAACCTAGAAACAGCAAAAGTATTTCACCTTTTTAAGCCTCTAGGAGTAGGA